GAACGTAGAAAGGTGTTTGGAGCAAAGTGAACGTAACGTCGGAAGCAAAGAAAAGCGCAAATACAGAGAGGTAGAGCGAGGGAAGAAAAGAGGCAGGCCACACACACATAAAAAAGGAAAGTAAGCAAGATGGACAAACACACACAGAGTGAGTAAGTGACAGGCAGACAAAAATGGAAACGTGGATAAACAAATACAATGTTAGTTTGAGTATGGGAAAGAGAAAGAAAGAAAGAAAGAAAGAAAGAAAGAAAGAAAGAAAGAAAGAAAGAAAGAAAGAAAGAAAGAAAGAAAGAAAGAAAGAAAGAAAGAAAGAAAGAAAGAAAGAAAGAAAGAAAAAGAGAGAGCAGAAACGAAAGAAAACAATAGGGAAAATTAAAACCACAATCAGAGACACAGAGAGGAAGGGGGGAGGAGAAAAAAAAAGGGGGGGGGGGGCAGGCTTAAAAGTGGAAAAGAACAAAACGGACAATCCTACACGCACAGAAATGCATATTCATATAGAGATATAGAGAGAGGAATGGAGAAGGAGAGACGGAGAAGGAGAGACAGAGAGGGAGAGACAAAGATGGAGAGAGAGAAAGAGAGAGAGACAGAGAGAGAGAGAGAGAGAGAGAGAGAGAAGTGACATAAAGACGATGAGCATATTAAAACACTGATCCATACAGACCTGGATTGCCAAGGGGAGATAACTTCATCGTCTGGACCGCCCACAAGAACTAAGTTCTTCAACCTGAGAAAGTTGTTTCGGTACTCTGTAGAAAGGATGGAAGAACTCTTGAATCAAACACTTGGAATCTTTGTTTTGTTTTATGACAGTTTATGGCTCATTTCAAACGTGTACAGATTTCCTAAGGATGGGAATCAAAGCCGTTGGTGATAACAATATCTGCAAGTATTGTGAGAAAGCTTTCCCTTTTTTCTTCTTCAGTATTCCGAGCTCCTGCGTTCATTGCTGCAGATATCACCCGCCTCCACTTATCTCTCTGCTTGGCCGTCTCTTTCCAGCTTATGACCCCAAGTGTTTGTAGGTCTGTCTGGATATTATCTCTCCAGCCTCTTGGTCTGCGTCGTGGTCTAAGACCAGTCAACTCCCTTGTGTATGCCGTTTTTACTTCGCTGTGATCAGAAGTTCTATCAATATGCCCCAGCCATTATAACACTATTCATCTCCTTGTGAGATGCAATTTTTGGTTATTTTGAAGCCCTACCCTGGCTCTTGCCAGGAGGCGCACTATAGCCCGGCCATAAAATATGGTCTTATGGCTGAACGCGGTTTTCGGGACCTCTCCCCGGGTGATCCTCATCCACATGGTGGCACTTTGTATCATCGGGTGTTTATCGCTTGTGGGATTTCCTGGTGGGGTAGAAAGTAAGTTCAGTTGAGCCCCCATGAAGCTATTGGTACATGGGATCACTGGATAATTGTCATGGCTGTGAAGAAGGTCTTAGAATGGCTGAGAACTCAATGCAAGTTTGCCTAGCGACTCATGGGCATGCTACAGAAGATCAAGGCAGGGTATATACGGAAACAGTAGCCCCCATCTGATACAGCACGCAGCTTTTCCCCAAAATCACCTTCATTTTCATCCCAGAGTATGCTGGTGTGAAAGACAATGAGAGAGCAGACGTCTGGGCTGGCAGTGCGACCATCAGGAATGGGTCATATATAGACAGGAGAGACATCATCAATGAGAGAGAGAGAGACTAAACGCTGGGAGGCTTTCAGTTTCGTCGAAAAATAATTTTTTACTGAACAGACTGCATACCCTGGGTGTACCAACTGGAGCTGCGAGACAGGAAAACCATTCGAGAGCCGCCTGTCGTTACATCAACCAGAATAGAATGGGATTTGTTAGCCTAACCACACTTGGAGACATACTCAGGAGGAGATTGGAGAACTTATGGTCATGTCCGGTGTGCGATGAAGATGATCTTTAAAAAGAGCAATAAACAATGAACTTTTGTCATCGCACGTATTTCTTCTCAGATGTTTAGCACTGAACCTATCTGCACTGACTTTCTCCTTTATAACTCTACGTTTTAAATATATATATTTTCTTATCCAACTAACACGGCTCATGGCATCATGTTTCCGTCGACCCACCCAAATATCGGTATCATTCATGATTTCCACATTTGGCATGCACAGAAACTTTTGGGGTGTACACGGCAAGAAATGAACATTTAAGTCAGGGGAAAAGCGGGTATCATCAATGTTGTACGGACTAGGATAGATCTCTAATGACGAATCTCTGACACTAACACGATTGCCAGACCTGGGAGTTGAGCGTGATGAAGCACGTCTATGCCGCCTTCAAGGCCGAGATAGAAAACAATGTAACCTTGTGTACTATGGAGCGGCAGCTGCATCAGAATACTGAGCACGAATGGGAATTCCCAATGTGGAAATGATGTCGATTGCGATAACATGAGATCTGAGAAGGTATTCTAGGATATGGGAAGACCACAACACAGCATATCGCATGCGCTCTTCCAGAGTCTGAGCATGTGGTTATCCTTTCCCCCCCCCCCCCCCCCCCCCGGATAGCTGACTGGCGAAAGGCAACAACAATGAAGGTGACGACAATGCTTTTTGCAGATGTATCTTCTTGACTTTACAAAAAGCAAATCAAAGACTATAAAAACATGAAGCGCTAAAAGAGAAATAAATCAAGGAAGAAGCACTAGCATTATAAACAAGTAGTAGTATAAGAAGAGTTACGGTATTTGAAGAAAAGACGACGAAGAAGAAGAAGAAAAAATAAGAAAGAAGAGGAGGAGAAGAAGGAGAAGGAGGAAAAGATCGAAAATTTCTAGTATTCATGGTGGTAATGGTAGTGATAGTGGTTGTAGTAGAAGAAGAAGACAAATTAGAATGAGGAAAGAGAAAAAGAAGTGGGTGAGGAAGAGGAGTAGGAACATTTCAATGATGAGAATAATGACGAGTAGGATGATACTGTAAAACACAGCAAACTGTACCATGGCTGTTTGCACTCGCCGTCCTGGACTGGTTATTGAGAATGGCCAAGAAATCCGAGAACTTCTCGTACAAGGCCTGCTGGTGTGGATCTGTGAATCAAACATTGGTGAGAATTCGTTTGCCTTTTACTATTAAAATGTAACGATGCTTAAACTACAGATAACTACTATCAACGACCATTTGCGACATAAGCAGTATGAAAAAAAGGAGAAAATGTAACGACGTTGATTTTGAAAAACTCATCTTCAAGTTAGTGGACCGACTGCTTTAAGTTGCCTGATGATGTTAGCCCATTTTCACCTGCCACAGTCTGTTCTAAAACAGTTGAAGATGTTTTATGATGTTACTATACTGTCCCTGTTATCATCATCATCATCATCATCATCATCATTACCATTAGTCCAGTCCAAGAGTTATTCAAGCTATGCCTTTCCAGTATCTCATGCTGTCATCATCATCAACATCATCACCATCCTTATCATCCATTCGTCATCAACATCATCACCATCCTTATCATCCATTTATCATCAACATCATCACCATCCTTATCATCCATTATTCATCAACACCATCACCATCCTTATCATCCATTCATCAACATCATCACCATCCTTATCATTCATTCATCATCAACACAAGGTAAGTCAGCCTACGGTTGGTGCTGAGGCTACCTAACCAGGGCTGGTCAGTTAGCATTCCGGTAGAAAAACTAGCTGAATTTATCAGTTAAGGACATGCGTCGGAACCACGGCCTTCACAGAGGCCTGCCGCCTTCTCATCTCGAAAACCTCTGGCAAAGAGAGGAAAGAAGAAGATGAAGAAGAACAAGAATCTAATCGTTTTCTGTAAACTTGGCAATTTATCATCTCTCATTTAGTAGTACTGGTTGTGGTTGTGGTGGTGGTAGCAGTAGTAGAAGTAGTAGCAGCAGTAGCAGTAATTATAGTAGCAACTGTGATATTTGATATGGAATTGTTAAATGTTACAATATTCTGCCAGCTTTTGACTTTACCATCTCTCACACTTATAGTAATAATTAAGTGTTGGAAAAATGTTTTTTGTTGTGTGTGAATTCCATACTTTACATTTAGTAATAACAGCATCAATATATATATTTAAAAAAAAAAACATAACAGGAAACACACATACCATTCCAATAATTTGCAATAGATAGCTGTTGTCCGATCGATGTGTAAAACAACCTGCACAGAATAAACAACCTTGGGCGATTGAGTAGTCAAAATGAAGCAATGATTGTGCATCTTTCTCCACACCTACCGCGTGTAGCCTGCTCGACCCTGAAGTCAATCAGTCAATCATTTAACTGTAACCACTTTCAGCTAAGGGACAAAAGACACTGCTGTTCTCGGCCCTGTCTGCTATATTCGTGGTGAAGTTTCTTGTCTTCATCTCATCTAGTTTTGCATTGTACTATTAGGATTTTGTAGCTCGGTGTTTGATGTGGTTTCTTGTCGATTATTTTTTTTTTAATAAGGCGGATGTGATATCACGCTACACATTCACATTTGGCTGATTTCGTATGTGGCTGGCCCTGCACTGCGCTCCGGATCGTTGGGTTGGCTGCTCCGCTATCGTGGCTGTTTCGGGTGGTTTTGATTGGCCTGTTGGTGTGTCCAAAGAGGGGGTCTGATTATCCTAAGAAGGACTAGCAGTTTTTTGCTATAGGCTGCTAGCAAACGGGTTATGGTGGGATCTGGTGTTGTTTTGGTGGCCTTCTTCTACCTTAGATGTCTGGCGCTGCTCTTTCATGGGGAATCAAGTGGTCTGATGCTGGCGGTGTCGTCTCTGGCATTTGTTTTTGTGGTGACGGTGTCGGCCACGTTTGCCGTCAGGTTTTGGAGTTCGGATCTGTTCTTCTGGTGGGGACCATGTAGATTATGGGCATTCCCGCCTTCCAGTGAGGCTTTCATAAAGGCAGAGCCGACACATGGCGTTATAGTCCTAGGCACACCAAAGGAATCGTTACGTCCTGCACATGACCACTTAACCTCACATCCGTATGTTGGGCTTTTCACTCGTCACGGGGCAGCCCTCCGGAGATCAGCAGGTTCCCGAGCCTACAGGTTGGGAGCTTCGATAGCTACGCAAATAAGTACAGTTTTCTTCACCACTTTAGACACCCTTAGCGTTGTTTCGCCTGGACTCTTAGCACGACAGTATGGAAAATCCTGCATCAGGCATGTCATCTCCTATTTGGTTCCCATACTCGGGCGACCCAGTAACATACACATCAACCTTTCTGCCAAATAGTACAAGTTTGTTGCGGTCGGACATCTAGTACTCTGCTATTGTGCCATAGGACAAATGTCTGACGGACATTTGACCCTAGATAGTTGACTGAAATGGTCGACTGCTGTGGTGTCTCTCAGCTCGGTGACGACGACGATGAGGGTCAACAAAAGATGTTCGAAGACGGAAATGTGCAATGGGACACAGCCAGCATGAGACGTTTCTCGTCTTAGCTGCGAGCGACTCTCTTTGTCTAAGGCTGCGTCTCAGCAGTTCAGTTGTTCTTTCCCTCGACAGACTGTTTAACCGAGTTGGGTCATTTGTTAGTAAACTCGACCATGAAGGGAAACGTTTTCTCCTATGCACTGGGAGACGTTTTCACCCATGAAGGGAGACGTTTTCTCCTATGCACTGAGAGACGTTTTCACCCATGAAGGGAGACGTTTTCTCCTATGCACTGGGAGACGTTTTCATCCATGAAGGGAGACGTTTTCTCATATGCACTGGGAGACGTTTTCACCCATGCACTGGGAGATGTTCTCACCCATGCACTGAGAGACTTTGTTACCCATGAAGGGAGATGTTTTCTCCTATGCACTGGAAGACGTTTTCACCCATGCACTGGGAGACGTTTTCTCCTATGCACAGGGAGACGTTTTCACCGATGCACTGGAAGACGTTTTCTCCTATGCATTGGGAGACGTTTTCACCCATGCACTGGGAGATGTTTTCTCCTATGCACTGGGAGACGTTTTCACCCATGAAGGGAGAGGTTCTCACCCATGTACTGGGAGCGGTTTTCTCCTATGCATTGGGAGACGTTTTCACCCATGCACTGGGAGACGTTTTCACCCATGCACTGGGGTGAACTTTAGCGCCAGAGTTTACATCTGGCGAAGGCGAAGGCTAAGAATAATAATATTAAGAAGAGAAGCTTCCAGGTCGGTACCACACTAAAATGGGTGCCGGGAATTGTTGGGGGGAAATAAAGGCGGCCAGCGTCTTAGTGACGTCACCCACTGAGTTTAAGTAAAGAAACCTTTCCCACGCCTTTGCTGTATCGAGCATATGATGCTAGAATGTTATTGTTATAGACTCAGTACTCGATGGGTGACAACTTGTCGCCGGTCGTCTTTACTTCCCAGGGCATTACCTGGTACTCATTTAACTCCTTCAGTCCCATGAAACTCACCATACGTCTATTGGCGTGCTATGGTTGTATGAGCTCCCTGTGCTTCGTGCAGCGGTAGCCTTAACCCATTGTGTCCCAGCTGGGGCTTGAGCTTCTGTTGTACCATAGTGATTTTATACATACTATATCTTATCCAAACATATACTGCTCTAAGCAACCTCTGTTTAAGCACGGATGAGTTAGATAAAATCGCGTGTGGGACTTGAAGAGTTAAGAGTGGGTCGGTCGACCTGATAGCCAAAGGTCATTACAAATATCCGACTCGACGTAGATTCGAACGCAAGGCATTTAGACGGGCAGGTGATAAGTTTCGACCGAACCCTTTATCAACGAGCACAACAAGCCACTGCGGCTTCATCATTGAGTGAGACATACCAGTGGTTTCCAGTGAAACTAGACCCGCCGAATCCTTTTACGGGCCTGCTGCTGACTTCTCTACGTTTTAATTTTCGTGTATTCCTCTTCTTCTTAGCCCACGCTTTTTAGCGGTAGTAGAAGTAATGTATATCCACAATTTTCTGTCTCTCGTACTTTTTACTAGTTCTCCATAGATGATCTTTCATGTCTTGCTGTCAAATTCTCTAGCATCTTCTCTCTCGGTCTCCCTGTGAATTCTGTCCCTCTAGCTTTCGCATCGTCACGATGTACTCTTTTTTTACCCCTTGTCATGACATGACCAAAAAATGTAGATTGTCTCCCCCTGATGTGGACAATCAGTTCTCTTCAAGAGTTAGTTTCTTTCAAGACACAGCCATTTCTCTTTTTGTATATTCAGGGTATTTTCATCATTCGTCTACAAAATATACTTCCTCCAAATTATATTTTTTTAAACCAATCGCACCACTTTCCACGCTTCACTCCCTTCTATCAGGATAGCATTTCTATAGCTCTTGAGAATTCTTTTTCTTGTCTCAACAAAGAATATTCTTCATTTTGTAAAATGCTGTCTTTGCTTTGGCTATTCTACATTAAAAAATATGTATTAAAAAAAAAGAGGGATGAGTTATTTTTCTTTATATCATGGAACCTTTAAATGTGTTCCGCTAACCAGAAGATTTGAACCACTGTTTATACAAACATGATTCTACTACCATATAATCAAGACACCACATGGTATCAACAATGGCAAGTCGCCGGAAAAAAAAAACCAACAATCTAAGAGACATTAACTGAAGGAGAGGCCAGACTTACTTGTACATGTGTTTCTTGACGTACTTTGGAAATAGGACCTTGAGGTATTCCGTGTCTGGGAACGGAAATCACATCTGTATTGGCTGCTGTTTCATACCATACCATACCATACCATACCATACCATACCATACCATTCCATACCATACCATATCATACCATACCATACCATACCATACCATACCATACCATACCATACCATACCATACCATACCATACCATACCATACCATACCATACCATACCATACCATACCATACCATACCATACCATTACATAGTATACCATGCTATACGATACCATAAAATACTATACTATATTATAGTATACTGTATTATACTGTGCTGTGCTATACTATACTACAAATACTATGCTATGCTATGTGATACTATGCTATGCTATACTGTGATAAACTATATTATGCTATGCTATGCTATGGTATACGAATCTATGCTATACCAAACCATAACATACCATATAATACTTTATTGTACTGAACTATACAGTATTTCATACTATATGATTCAAAAACGATCCTGGCTCCCAGGTCGACCCAGCCTCAGATGGGTACTAGTTAAAGTCCTGGGTAGTCAAGTTTCTTGTGTTATGTTGACCACATCATCAACCAAGTGCTGATTAATACATTAAATATATGTCTAGGACGATATGCCTAATGCGCCTAAGGCCGCGGAAAAGGGTTCTTTGCTTCTATACAGTATTCTTTATATTCTATACTATATAGCTCAAATACACTGCTATAAAAATACTATGCAATACTATATAACACAAATACAATACTATATAAAATATATACTATACAACACAAATACAATCTTCTTCTTCGTCTTCTTCTTCCTCTTCTTCTTCTTCTTCTTTTTCTGCTTCAGCGTTCCGAGCCCTTGAGAATAAACAGAGGGGGGAACCATTTGAAGCCGTTAAATATTATGAATTAATCAAGTAACAGAAAGTATTGTGAACGGCACTCATAGAAAGAAGTAGAAAGATAGAAGAACACACTAGACAACATAAAAATCGGAAGCTATAACCGTGCCGGGAATTGAACCTGTCACCTTCAGACGGCGTCTGCGCCTCGCCATGAATACAAGTGCACTAAGATACATGGTCAACTAGGCACCCCCCCCCCCCCCCCCCCCCCCCAAAAAAAAAGGTGTCTCATTGGCCATGTCTATCGTACAGCTTGAAATCCACGACTATGGAATACGGACAGAATTCATTTCAACCCATTGAAATGGCACCATAGGTTACAGAAATTTATATTACGAAGCAAATGTCGAATAACAATCACAGCAACAATTGACGAACACAGTAGACCTTATTGCCTTGTCTAGAATACACAAACAGGTATTTGAGGTGCATTGCTGCAGATATCACCCGCCTACACTCATCTCTGTGGTTGGCCTTTTCTTTCCACTTGGTGACACCAAGTGTTCGTAGGTCTGTTTGTATATTATCTCTCTCAATCGCATTCTTGCTAAAACCTTCGTAACCACGTAATAGTAACACTCAGTTTCGTAAAACTTCGTTTCGTCACGAAACATATATCTAAACCTCGATTTAAGATGGATTTAAACGGACAACCTAACTGGAAAACAAATGGTTAGTTGCGTAGCCTTTTACAGGACGTTGCAGAACCAACCTCAGAAACCCATGGCTGTTCTGTGGTTTTTTCTAGGAAAATTTACCCCCAGTAGTTTGCCATTGCTTTCTGGACGTCGGCTTTCTTGATACCACTGTCGAAACCAACACAAGGCGCATGGCCCGCAGCTGGGATCGAACCCAGCACCCCGGCATTACGAAGTGTTCGCATCGACTTAGCCACAGAGCCGACGGAAAACAAATAAAATACTATATACAAATTTACGATACTATAAAACAAATAAGTACTAGATAACTGCTACACTATAATACAAAATACACATACTAAAGTATGCTGTGCTTTTCAACACAGATACTTTACTGTAAAACTACAATATATGGCATACATGGGACTTCAGTTCTGACCACGTTACCTCCATATTGTCCAGCCAGTGGGGAACTTAAACTAATGAACGTGTCCACGTTGTGTTGAACCAAGGCCAGTAGTCCTCGACAGATCAGTCCGCCTGAGACAAGTCAAAAAAAAAAAAAAAAATCATTTATAAACACCGGGGATAACATAGATCTATAGATTAATCACCAGAAACAGGTCATAAAACATTCATTGAAAAAAGGACAACATACATCAACAGATGAGTCACCTGAGACAAGACATATAACATTCATCAACTACGGCGACAACATACATCAACAGATGAGTCACCTGAGACAAGACATATAACATTCATCAACTACGGCGACAACATACATCAACAGATGAGTCACCTGAGACAAGACATATAACATTCATCAACTACGGCGACAACATACATCAACAGATGAGTCACCTGAGACAAGACATATAACATTCATCAACTACGGCGACAACATACATCAACAGATGAGTCACATGAGACAAGACTTATTACATACATAAACAACTGGGGACAAAATATTTCAACAGATAAACCCGTCTGGGACTAGACATAAAACATCCATAAACACTATTGACAACATACTTCAACAGATGAGTCCGCCTGAGACACAACAAACATTCATAACATACTGAGGATAACATACATCAACAGATAAGTCTGTCTGAGACACAACAAACATTCATAAACAACTGGGGATAACATACATCAACAGATAAGTCTGTCTGAAACACAACAAACATTCATAAACAACTGGTGATAACATACATCAACAGATAAGTCTGTCTGAGACACAACAAACATCCATAAACAACTGGGGATAACATACATCAACAGATAAGTCTGTCTGAGACACAAAAAACATTCATAACATACTGAGGATAACATACATCAACAGATGAGTCTGTCTGAGACAAGACATAACACATTTATAAACAAACTTTTCAACACTAACGAAAGTAAAAATTAGTTGTAGTAGAAGTTGTGGTAGTAGTGGTGGTGATGATAGTAGTAGTAGTAGTAGTAGTAGTAGTAGTAGTAGTAGTAGTAGTAGTAGTAGTAGTAGTAGTAGTAGTAGTAGTAGTAGTAGTAGTAGTAGTAGTAGTTGTTGTAGTAGTAGTAGTAGTAGTAGTAGTAGTAGCAGCAGCAGCAGCAGCAGTAGTAGTAGTAGTAGTAGTAGTAGTAGTAGTAGTAGTAGTAGTAGTAGTAGTAGTAGTAGTAGGAAAGAACTTCAGTCGTAAGTAGTAATAGTAGTAGTCATTTTAGTAGCAGTAGTAGTAGTAGCAGTAGTAGTAGTGGTCGTAGTAGTAGTAGTAGAAGTCGTAGTAGTAGTAGTAGTAGTAGTAGTAGTAGTAGTAGTAGTAGTAGTAGTAGTAGTAATTGTAGTAGTAGTAGTAGTAGTAGTAGTAGTAGTAGTAGTAGTACTAGTAGTAGTAGTAGAGTGGTGGTAGTTGTAGTAGTCGTAGTAGTAGTCGTAGTCGTAGTTGTAGTAGTAGTAGTAGTAGTAGTAGTAGTAGTAGTAGTAGTAGTAGTAGTAGTAGTAGTATAGTAGTAGTAGTAGTAGTAGTAGTAGTATAGTAGTAGTAGTAGTAGTAGTAGTAGTAGTAGTAGTAGTAGTAGTAGTAGTAGTAGTAGTAATAGTAGTAGTAGTAGTAGTAGTAGTAGTAGTAGTAGTAGTAGTAGTAGTAGTAGTAGTAGTAGTAGTAGTAGTAGTAGTAGTAGTAGTAGTAGTAGTAGTAGTAGTAGTAGTAGTAGTAGTAGTAGTAGTAGTAGTAGTAGTAGTAGCAGCAGCAGCAGCAGTCGTACTACCATATTATGAACAGACCAGAGCAAGTCATTATTCTGCGCCTTAGAACAGGACACAGTCGACTTTGCAGCCACATGTACACAACATCTAAGATTGGCGAATCTGCGATGTGCACATGTGGATTTGACACCTGAGACATCAGATCACGTCCTCCAAAACTGTCCCAAATACAACATATCAAGGCAAAACGTTTGGCCAAGAGAAACGCCGGTGCAAGCCAAACTTTACGGCTGGTTAAGTGAATTACAAAAAGAAGTTCAAACTAGAGACAAAGTGTAGATATAGATAATTTTCGAGCGAACGAAAGAAGAAGAAGAAAGAACATAGTAGGAAAAATACCGAATATGTCCTCTATTGCATCATTTCCAGGAAGTTTTTGACCTGACCAGTAAAGTAAAACTTCTTTATTTACTTACTTACTTACTTACTTAGTCGCTCCTCTTCTACCTTGGGGTGTAGAGGTTTGCCAGAGAGATCGCCAGACGTCTCTATCAGCAGTTTTCTTTCTGGCTTTGTTCCATTCCAGTCCTCTGTCAGTCAGGGACTGTCGGATGTTGTCTTCCCAGCGCACCCTGGGTCGTCCCGGAGGTCTGGTTCCCTGGTTCTTAGCCTCCCATGCTTGCCATGGTGGCCGATTTTCTCCCATTCTGCACACATGTCCAAACCATCGTAACTGTGACTGATCCACTCGGGTAGTAAGGGCTGGGTATCAAGATCTTGACGTATTGTCTGATTGCGGACTTTGTCCCTTCTTGTCACTTGGACCACCTTTCTCAGGTATCTCATTTCCGAGGCCTGCAGCTGGCTTCTGTGAGCTGTTGTCATTGCCCATGACTCACACCCATAGGTCAGGACTGGTACATAGGTAGAGCGGTAAACAGCCATTTTCGTCCTCTTGCCAATTTCTCTTTTGCTAAGAAACCCTCGGTTTATGGCCTGGAAGAGTCTCCCAGCAGCTGCTTTTCGTGTAGCCAGCTCAGTCTTAATGCCTCCATTTTGGTCTAATACAACTCCAAGGTATTTGAACTGGTTAACCTGCTCCAACGCATACTGACCCATCATGATCTGGTGTTTCTTCTCCTCTCTTGAGATCACCATGGTTTTAGTTTTGGAGACACTGATGGTCATCCCTTTCTTTTCAAGCTCTTCCTTCCAGACAAGTAAGTTGTACTGAAGGTGTGCCTCTGATTTAGCTATCAGGGCCACATCGTCTGCAAAAGCCAGCTCTGATATACAGATTGGTCTCATCTTCCAGTACCCTACAGAGTACTTCTTTGTCTTCTCCTTACAGGTCTTGATGACATCATCCATCATAAGAATGAAGAGGTAAGGTGAGAGAATATCACCTTGTCTAACACCGCTGGTGGTCTTAAATTCTTCTGACTTTTGGTCTGCTGTTCTTACATAATTTCTGCACTTTTTGTAGAAACTCTGTATTGCACTGATCAGGGGTGCTGGGATGTTTTTCCCTGCCAAGCAGTCCCAGAGCTTGTTCCAGGGTACCTTGTCAAATGCCTTTTCCAGATCCAAAAAACATAAGTGAATCTCACTCTTATATTCCAGGGCTTTTTCACTCATCTGTCTCAGTGTGAAGATAAGGTCTTGAGTACTTCGGTTTGCTCTGAAGCCGCACTGGGCCTCGTCCAGCTGTGGCTCTACCAGACTTCTAAGTCTCTGCTCAAGAATTCTAGAGTAACTTTTACCGGGAATGCTGAGGAGGGATATGCCTCTGTGGTTTTCACATTGTCTGTTCTTTATTTACTTTTCCCTTATTTATTTCTTGTAACAGTGGCGCTGTTTCTCATTGATCCTAAATGAAGAAAATGCACTAGGAAATAAACCCATGTCCTGGTGTTTTTATTAAATAGCAAGATGACGGTAGTTTTCCAAAATCCGCCTTGTCGCCGTTTCTGTCTGGCGATTTCTGACTTAAAAACAGGACGTGTACGCTTCACTGTTTATAAAAGAGAATTAAATGTTTATGCGTGGGTTCCGCGATACAATTTTTTGTTTATGTGGAAAAGGGTCAGAGAGCTAAACAACTGTAACTTAACAATCATATTGTAGAGGGCCACTGATTAAGGGTTTGTTGAAATCAGATATAAGATGTTTGGTCGAAAGTCGCAGCCTAGCTGTAAACCACATCACAGTGTGTTAATGGAAATTTTAACGGCGAAAACGACGATGACGACGACGACGAAGAAGAAAAAAGAAGAAGAAGAAGAAGAAGAAGAAGAAGAGGAAGGTAAGGGTGGAAAAAAAATGGGAAAGTTTCGACCGAAGCCTTTATCAACGAGCACAACAAGTCCACGAATCACAGACACCAGTCTTCACACAGGCGGGTCACGTGACTTTATTCGTTATTCTATTGTAAAAGGTAGCTCGACTGCAGTCACTATTATCGTCATCGTTTGTAGTATTTGGTGTAGCCTTGACGTTGGTGAATTCTTCTGCTGCCTTCTATCTTCAAATGGAGCCTAGGTCCCCAACGAGCTCATGCCGTCGTTCTATCCTTTGCTATTGCATGCAGCTCCTCCGGTGTCCTCCCGTCATTTTTGTTGTTATTTTAACCTCACTCTCGAGCTCTCTTCTCCATATTTTTGGGTCTGCCTTTTTGACTGTGTATGAGGGATTTATACTGTAACATCGTTGATTTGATTCTGGAGTTTAGTTTGGCAACAGGTGGCTTTGCGCGCATTTCGGTAATGGTATAAGAGTCGACCATTTCGTAGGCAGTGGCAAACTACTGAACGCACAGTTAAATAGTAATACCACAAACAGATAACCCTTTTTCTTTTTGCTTCCTAACATTGACCGGCTGTAAGCTCTTGCAGAAAAATGAGGCTGTTCGTCCACTTCTGGACTTTAGTATTTTTTTCAGAACTTGAGTGATTTACAGATCTGGTTACTTAGGTATAGGTTTTTAATTCCTCGCCTCTCAGACAGATGAAGGAAACACCCCTAATAAGTCGCCTTCTACGACATGTTTACTACTGAAAATAGGTCAGTTCGTTTACCCCCTAAAGGGGGCCACTGAACTCACACCTGGAAATTAGCCAATAAATGGAGTTTCCGGCTTGGCGTGTCCTGTAAAGTATGCAGCCAATATTTAATTTAGTCTAGCTGTTCCAGGTGACCTAGTTATAATTTAATAACAGATAAAACGGGATATCTGGGATTTTCCCTTCTAAAAGGACATCAAGGAACTTATCTGTTAAGAGTTTAACGGGTGTCCAACCTTCAGGTGTCAGATCGGAAGGAACAAACAGATAATTATGACAACTCGGGCAATGTAGTCAAGCTCGTTGTTGTCACTCTAGCTCGCCTTGAACAGACACAACTTTGCACAATAATAACACCGGGCAGCGTTCAGATTCCAGTATCAGTTCTGCTAGTTTCTTCTTGCCGATTCTCACACTCATCAATCTCAGTCATCGCTGTTGTCTTCCACAACTATGAGACAGTAATCATTTACTCAACGTTGAAAACACTTCATTGAAAACTACATCGACTACATCACGACTGTCTACTTGCAACTCAGCTACGCAACTGACCACGAGCCAACTTCAGGCTTGAGTTGAGTAGACTCAAGAACAGACATCACTTAGGGCATTCCCATAGCGCTCCGTCCCCATCTTCAGCAGCCAGTGCAGATTTTTGATACTATTGGTGTCAGTAGTATTCTGATTAAACGTCCGTCTTTCCTTTCCTCTGAGCCTCGAGTATCTGCCAGAGCCTCTCGTCACAACCCCCCTGCATCATTCTCACCAGACTGGGGTTATCTATCTGCTCCTCTGAACTTTACACGATCTCCCACAAAGCACTAACCGCGTCTGCCTTATCATGCATCAGTAGTCCACCAAGTTGTACCAAGCCAGCCAGTCTGTCCGCCTGTTCATTTCCCAACACACCGGCATTCCGGTGAAAAAATCCAGACAATACTACTCACCCGTGTCCTCAGCAGTGGAGCATGCCACTCTGCACGAAGCATACCTGTTCTGATCTTCCTCAGCATGCTTTCTGAGTCAGTTACAATCACGATGAGTGTGTGTGTCGTGTTCTCTAGCCAGCGAAAAGCTGCAGTGACCGCCTCCACCTCCATTCTTAAGCTGGATGTTGTGGTATCATATGCTATGCACTCCTGCACCAAACGTTGACTATTAACTTTTGCTAAGAAGCCTTAGGCTTTCCCTAGTTTACCTCTACAGCCCCAAAAATCTCATGCCATCGTTTATTGCACGGATTTTCTGCTCGACTTGCTGTGACCGTGGAGACCATGCAAAGCAGGGTCATCTCAAGAAAACTATCTCGCACATGGCCAGTTCACGTTTCCCGGCCCATCCACACACTGGCTGACCTTTTATTCATACTTTCTCGGATTCTTCTACGTCGGAGGGATGTCATGTTGTCTTGCCTCCAATTATATCAGGCACAGTGTCGCGTGTCCTATACTACACAACGAAACAGCTTCTAACTACCCCAGATCATCTAAAACTGGCCCTAACACAGCCACGCCACCCCCCTCCCTCCACCTAGCTTGAGCCTAGGTCACACGAGAGACTCTTTTCGAAAAAAGCAATACAACGTGACATCCCTCTGACCTAGATTAGACTGAGAAAGTATGTAGATGGGCCTGGAAACGTGAACAGGTCCCCCGCACATAAAAATTCTAAAGTAAGGAATGGTAAACTTCCTAGACGTGGCCTAGAGCCACAGGGCTGCTACTGTAGCCACCATTCAGGATCTTCCCTAAACATCCCGTCATGAGAGCTCCGGTAACGTTGCGAAAAACAGCAAGCTGGCGATTGATGTTTTTATCACCACAGAGAATACAGTGACGTATAAACGGACTGATCAAAGGGTATTCAACCATGTCAATGTTATGTGTAAGGTTTAGGCGGCCAGAAGAAACATAATTTTGTAGCTTCCTCGATACCAGGAGCGGTAAAGGAGGAAGACAAAGAAAACGTAATCAAGACACAAAAGGTCAAAAGGTTTGGTCCAGATGGTCACAAAACAGCGCACAACAGAGTCCAGTCAGTTACAGTAACTTAGATAAAACTGAAGAAGATCCAGAGGTGGCCCACGGAAGCGATGGATAGATGAAATATTTGAGGCCCCGAATGCCAGCATCTACTTAGTGCATATCGAGGCTCGTACCAGATAATTCTTCAAAACCTGACAGTGAAAGCCAGAACAGGGACTAGGAAAGGAAACATTAGGCATGGTCAGAATACAAGAACAGTAAATTAAAACGGATGAAGCTAGATACCCAGACGTCAAACCAGGCATAAGATGAAGTTAAAATGAACCCAGAAGTAGTGACATCAAAGCAGCTAAACGCTGGGTGATTTACTGAAGAGGGGATCCTACCACGTATAACTTCTGATGTGTTATCACAGTCGACGGCACTGCACTTTGGGTAGTCACACGCGTGCTCAGTCCCCATGCAGCCGCCACTCCAAGGTACCTGCACTCCAAGGTACCTACACTCCAAGGTACCTACACTCCAAGGTACCTACACTCCAAGGTACCTACACTAAAAGGTACTTACACTCCAAGGTACTTACACTCCAAGGTACCTACACTCCAAGGTACCTACACTCCAAGGTACCTACACTAAAAGGTACTTACACTCCAAGGTACCTACACTCCAAGGTGCTTACACTCCAAGGTACTTACACTCCAAGGTACCTACACTCCAAGGTACCTACACTCCAAGGTACTTAAACTCCAAGGTACTTACACTCCAAGGTACCTACACTAAAAGGTACTTACACTCCAAGGTACCTACACTCCAAGGTACCTACACTCCAAGGTACCTACACTCCAAGGTACCTACACTAAAAGGTACTTACACTCCAAGGTACTTACACTCCAAGGTACCTACACTCCAAGGTACCTACACTCCAAGGTACCTACAATCCAAGGTACCTACACTAAAAGGTACTTACACTCCAAGGTACCTACACTCCAAGGTACCTACACTCCAAGGTATCTACACTAAAAGGTACTTACACTCCAAGGTACTTACACTCCAAGGTACTTACACTCCAAGGTACTTACACTCCAAGGTACCTACACTCCAAGGTACTTAAACTCCAAGGTACTTACACTCCAAGGTACCTACACTCCAAGGTACCTACACTCCAAGGTACTTAAACTCCAAGGTACCTACACTCCAAGGTACCTACACTCCAAGGTACCTACACTCCAAGGTACTTAAACTCCAAGGTACCTACACTCCAAGGTACCTACACTCCAAGGTACCTACACTCCAAGGTACCTACACTCCAAGGTACCTACACTCCAAGGTACCTACACTTCAAGGTACCTACACTCCAAAGTACCAGCACTGAATGTTCCAATCCGCAACTTTCAATATTACCCCATTGTCTATAGAGCATTGTGGGAGCCGCCATGGTGCAGTGTCTAAATGCTGGCCTGCGAATTTGTAGGTCGTGGGTTTAAATCCGAATGGAGCCAGATTTGTTTCCTCCAAGGCTCTCTGGCAGATCCAGCTTTAGATGGGTACCAGGTGAAGTCCTAGGAAGTAAAGGCGATCATGTGATACTGACTACATCATCCACCGTTGGCCGGTTGGTCTATAAACATATTTGTCTAGCGTGATGCGCTACTCGTGTGTAGAGTGACCTTTTTCTTTACTGTGCCATAGCGAAGTTCAATGTATATTAGTTAGTGGCCAGGATTACTGTTAGCACACATTTTTATCTTTATATAGCGCTGTGTCTCTCCACAGAACGTGTAGCTGTTACTGTAGTGCCGAAACCATTGATGGTTTAAAAAAGGTGCCAGTACTGCGTACCGTCAGAAAAAAAAACAACCTTGTATTATCTTCTTCTTCTTCTTCTTCTTCTTCTTCTTCTTCTTCTTCTTCTTCTTCTTCTTCTTCTTCTTCTTCTTCTTCTTCTTCTTCTTCTTCTTCTTCTTCTTCGTGTTATTTGGCTGTAAACTTCGGCTGCTCCATATGGGTTCCGGAGCCCCATTGCTGGAAAAACAAGAATAGACGCACTGCCTCCCCAAAAAGCATGTCATAAGAGCAGACCAACTGGGGGCATCTGCCCGAACATCAAAGAAGGAAGAAATGCACAGAAATAAGTCAGAAAAATGACCGTGTACGCAAAACTCAAGCCCTGGTACAATGCCAAAGTCCAAGGGGACGAACAGTCAAGACTTTCCCTCGGAGCTTACAGTCGGTCAACAAAGAAAACGAAACTCCGGCGGAAAGTTCTAGGTGTTCACTCACCTCCCGTCTTTAGTCTTGTTCTAGAACCTGAGTGTTGCGTGCAGACTCTTGGTTTCTTGCATCTCAGACAGACTTCAACTTCGAAGCTTCAATCAGTCGACTCATGCGACATGTTTTTTTGGGAAGGTAGTGGGTCTATTTTCGTCTTCTCCATAGCGTGGCTCCGGAACCCACACGGGAAGTGTGTAGTTTAACAAGTCTTGGTAATCTTGGTTATCTTAGTTTCAGCTTGATAGCAAACGAGTCATCTCATAGTTGCTCCATTCCTGTGCCAACGAAAAACACACAGAATGTTCGTCGCAGTCCCTTGTAGAAAGATTGACAGACTGCTGTCTCAGCATATGCACTAGAATACACATAGTAGTTTAACAAGTGACAACACCAAGTGGACACAATAATCTCTGCTATAACACATGGCAACGGTAACAAATATAAACGATTGTACGATGACAACTGACAACACCAAACAGACGCAGCTAAGTAACCAACCTTGCGAGTAACAGATGAGAATGGTCCCATCTGAGGACTTGTTTGTGAGAACTGGTGCAAGCAGGGCTGCGATTGTCTCCACTTGTTTCGTTAATCGGGTCAAACTGTCCATTGAAGCGAAAGAGTTAACCAGTGTAGTGGGCGTCCCGGGATGGTACTGTTTGAGGCAAGGCAACGAGAGCACTGGGTTAATTAGTGTTAACTCTCTCTGCACCAGACAGCTCACATATATTTATTGGCGAGTCACACTGTCAACTTTAATAATCTCTGGATTAACCACCAAAGACAGTCAAGGATAAAATAAATCTAGAAACAATACTTGGGCGAACATGAAAAAAAAAAGGGGGGGGGGGGGCGAGGGGGGGGGGGGGGGGACGTAGAAGTAAAAAAGAAATTATGAAAGAAATATAAGGTAAAATAAACAACAACAAAAAACAAAAACAAAAACATGGCGAGAAAGTGGAAAAATAGCTTCAAGCAAGGAAAAAGAGATAGAGGGAGAGAATTTAAAAAAAAGAAGAAATTGCATAAAATTTACAGAAAGAAATTAATTAAAATAACTTCAAAGTGGATGCGAGATAAAAAATATGATAATAAACTGCATCTTATTGTAAAAAGACAAAAATGCGATTTTCAAACACTGTATTAGTTAGACATATTTAAGAAATAATGAATATTGTAGAAAGAAGAAGAAGAAGAAGAAGAAGAAGAAGAAGAAGAAGAAGAAGAAGAAGAAGAAGAAAAAGAAGAAGAAGAAGAAGAAGAACCATCTCACATTCGCAGTCCGACAGCCCAGTCGCACACAGCTCTCTCTCGCTCGCTCGATTTACCGCCCGATACAGCCACGTGTCTCTCGTTAGCTTGCTAACTATCCATTCGCAGCCAGATTATCAATAGCTAGATACTGGTCAGAACTCGCTTGACATTCGGCTGAGTTTTGGCTCGACTAGACTATTGTTATTCGTCTGCGGGTGGGTTATTAGCGGCCCGGGAGCACATCATTGTTATAGAGCCAGCCATACCAGCCAGTATTTTGAACGATTGCTAGAGAACTAAGGAGAAAGCACGCTTGGGTGTCCTTTTTAGGATACTCTAACAAGCCTTGCCGACTCCGAAGGGACCTAGCTTTCGCCACAGATCGCAATTGCCACCATTGATTTTCCTATCATGGGAAAAACAACAAAACAGCCCGCACCTACACCAAGAAAGAGGAGAGCCGTACCAGCAGCTTCACCAGCAGGCGCCCCTATCGCGGCGCCTCGCACACCTACGCCAACAACTGAAGCCGCCCCCATCGTGGCGCCAGCACCAGAAGCCGCCCCTATCGAGGCGCCGACACCCGAAGCCTCCCCTATCGTGGAGCCACCACCTAAAGCCGCCCCAGTCGTATCGCAGGGACTTACAAGCGCCCGCTTTTCTAAGCAGCAGCCTGGAGCCCACACCACAGACATCATGCAGTGCTCACGCTGCAACAGGGCGTGGCACACCGCCGCGACCTGCCGCAGTGGCCCTATTTGTCGGTACTGCTCGGGGGCCCACGACTTCAAGGAGTGTCCGCTAGCGAAACTCGATAGCGACTTCAAAAAGCCTAACAAAAAGCGGAAATGCAGCAACTGCTCAGGCCCACACAGTGCGAGGTACCTGGGGTGCCCATACCTCAAGAAGTGCAGGAGAGAAATGATAGCCGCCTCATCCAGAGATACATGCCAGGCGCCCAGACAGCCGGAGGCCAAGACCACCAAGAAAACATACAAAGAGACAAACGAAACGATCAGGCACGCTCCGCCAACCATTCAAAACGATATACACAAATAATCGACGAACTGAGAGAAGCCAAATCACAGCGCTCCAGAAAGAAAGAACCACCGCCGCCGCTGAAAGAAACCGAGACCCTTGAAACTGATTTCCCTACTGCTAGGGGAGATCAAGGGACCTAAAGGCAGAAAGGCTGGCATACGCTACCCAGCAAGCAAACAGACAGTCAGAAGACGCAGAAAACCTTCAAAAGTTCAAAGAGCTACTCACCAGCCTCAGAGCAACCCAGGCAGAAGAAGAAGTACGCCGCCAGACAGAGAGAGAGGAGAGAGGGAAGGAGCTAGCCGAGATAAAAACTGCACGGGAAGCCGCATGCCGCGAAGCCGCCCAGCTAGAGAAAGCCACCGCAGATGCCATAAACAGCAGCACAAGCAGCTAAGACAGGAAAGAGACCTGCTGGAGAAAGAAAGAATTGCCACAAAAAAGCCGAATACCAACCAAGGCCGACAAAAGCGTCTCCACTGACAACCTAACAACGAAGCATCAGGCACAAATGACCGAACCAGAACATGATGAAACCGACAAAGAAGATTCTGAAGAGATCCCAGTCATCACACAGACACCGAACAGTCAGATGGAGAGATCATATCCGATGAAGAATACACACAAGCAGAGCAGGAGTTTCCGATTGCCAGCAGTTACACCGCCCGTAGAACCTGCTCCGTACTTCTTCGACAACGAACAATTCCTAAAAGACCAGGAAAGAACACTATGCACTGGAGAACTGCCAAGTATGGAACGCAAAAGAGCAAAAAATGGGGCCCGCCGAATACAACTCCTACCCAGAGAAACAACCGAGGAAGGCGACGACGACGCTACTAACGTAGCAGAAGCCAAAAAACCGAGCCGCCATCTTTCTGGAAAAACCATCCCGCCAACTGAACGACGCCAGTACGCCACCAGAACCTGACAAGCAGAAGCCAGACCCCGCCCATCCCGTTCCAGGCCACCCGGCACATGCCCACTCCTTAAACCCGCAAGCCGCCCGCCAAGCCCACGCTGCTAACAAGACGCAACAAATGCAAGGAAACTCAGGCGAAAACGTTCGCCGCAAGGAAGAAATACAAATCACACCACCATTGAACCGACTTCGATATAGCAAGCCGTCAGGCAGCTGAAAGAAGTCACAAGTTTGGAATTTTTGTTATTATGAATCCTGAATCCTGAAGAAGAAGAACAAAGGGAAGAAAAATCAGCATAACGAAGACAAGAATAAGAAGAAGAAAAAGAATACCACCATCACAACAACAATACAAATAAAATTGAAAATGAAGTAAAAGAAGAAAAAGAAGAAGAAAATATTACGTTTTGTATAAGATCATTGAAGTGAGTAAATTCCACGGCCCCTGAAAATAGTCCATGCATAAACACGACATGCTTGTACCCCTCCGCCGAAGGTAGTGCATGTAAAGCTATCAGTACAGCAACAACACCGTTGTCACCGAGCAACGACAAATGGTTTCTGCCACTTGACCGCATCATTGCTCTAGCTACCAACCACAAAGCTTGAACACTTCAGTCGGTGTGTGTGAAATCGATGTCAAAGCCCGGGTTTTTAGACAAATTATGGACACACACCAGGAAGTGGTAAAAATTTCTGGAGTTTATTTAACATATACATATGTTTTTAACCAACGCGGATGTTGAATTATGACGATTTTCTTTTAGTGTCTCCCCCTCTCTCGCTCTCTCTCTCTCTCTCTCTCTCTCTCTCTCTCTCTCTCTCTCTCTCTCTCTCTCTCTCTCCTCCTTTCAGGACTGCAGTCTGTAGGAATAATATTTCAATGCTGAGAATCAAACAGATCATCACTATCGCGTGCCCTGGCGTAGGCGTTCATACATCTCCACACATCTCTGTCCCTCTCGTTAATCTGGTCAAAACCCCATTGAAGCGAAAGAGTTAACCAGTGTAGCGGGCGTCCCGGGGTGGTACTGTTTGAGAAAAGGCAATGAGAGAACTGGGTCAATTAGTATTAACTCGCTAGCGTAGTTGGCTAAACCGGATTGCGCGGTGACCGGGTGACGAACTCCTTGTGGTCCGGGTTTACGCCCGGGGGTAAGCAGAAAAGCCACATTTCTCCCAGATTTACGGTATTTATCATGGAATCAAGACAGAAAGGTTGCGATATCCTTAATTCCATAATACCGAGCCTAAGGGTTAACAACTCATGGCTTCTGAATACTCTGTCCCTCTGGATCAGTTCCACGGATGATATCCCTCCATGCCACCGTCGCAGTCCATCCGACATCTTCTTTCTCGGTCTGCCTCTCCCTCTTCTACCGTTGATCTTTCCGGTCGTTACAGCATTCTTTTATAGCCCACCCCCCACCCGCCCCCCCCCCTTTCCCCAATCACATAATCAAAAAACAGTACTTGTCTTTTCCTTATAGCTGTATATATTAATCTGCTTTCATGAGCTTCCCTCAAGCAATCCTGGTTAGTGACTCCGGCAGCTGAAGGGATTCTCATCCAACAGGTACAAATCCAATAAACGCCATTCAACCGTATAGCTAGCTATAGTATGAGGTTTTATGTTTGAACAACGGATCTACATCATGGCACACGGGTAGTAACCCATAAGTACTCCGTTCTTCTTCTAACTCTAAGTGTGAGTCCGAAAAAAGCTCAGCACAGTGCACAGGCTCTGTAGCACCGGCGAGGAACCTGACATACTTTGGTTAGATTTTTAACTCCAAATTTTTGCCCTGGCAGCGCCGTTATGCTACTCTTTACGATTTCCAACTGCCAAAGGATTTTTTTACGTGCGCAACAATGCGTCCGATCTCATTACCCAAATATCAAGGGGAACTACTAGAAGTCACTGTCCACGTTAAAGAATCCCAGCCCTCACAGGGGATTGAACCCGGAACCTCTAGGACTAGAGGAGGACACCATGTCTCGAGACCACGTAGCCCCCTACAGCTATTCTATATACAGTAGTAGCTTTATGGGAGCCATCACAGAACAGTAAGTAAGTAACGTATAGCCCAGTGTGGGTCTGATCTAACTGTAAGGACAGATGCATGTTCTTAAGATTTTGGCTTAATTAAGAAGAATAAAAAGTATAATGATAATAAGATTAAAAGGAGGGGGGGGGGGGAACAATGATCATCATCATGTAGCAGGTCCTTTACAGAACGTCGCTCTCATTACGGTCTGCCTGAAAGAAACTCGGTCTCTCCCCAGTTCTCCGGCCTCGTTTACTTTCATATTCAAGGAGTCACTTATATCTTATGCCTTTCTTTGAGCTGGTCGGCCGCAGCTCAACCTTTTTGTTACCATGGCTTCTGATGCGGCTTTTTTTCAAGGTCAACCGAAACGCATTCGCTCCATCTGTGCTAGACTCTGCGAGGGACTGGTTACTGGCGGTTGATCTGCCGGACCATGAAAGGTACCCTGAGTTGATCCGGAAGACCGGTCTGCGACCTGACATAGTTCTCCACTCTGCGGAGAAACAGCAGCACATCCTGATTGAACTGACCGTCCCGTATGAGTCGCGTATGGACGAAAATCACACGTACAAGCTCGAGAAATATGGTGATTTAGCAGCCGGTCTGAGGAGAGACGAGGCGTACACGGTACGTGTCTTTGCCGTCGAAGTGGGAGCGAGAGGTCTCGTCTCCACTTCTCTGTACAATGTGATTAAAGAACTAGGATTGCGCGGTAATGAACGGAAACGAACACTTAAAAAACTGGGCGGGGCAGCCGAAAGGGCCTCGAGTTGGCTTTGGACGCAGCGAAACAACGTAGGCGACGGGCCTCGGTGAGATGGTCCGGGTTTCTAGTGGAAAAGGGTTTCTCACCCTTTGAAAAAGTCCATCGTGTCCGAATTGTCTGCCAGTGATCTTCTGCCACCTGCTAACAAAAGTTCAACATGTGTCCGGTATACCAATCGTAAGCTTGTCGCTCAGTCGTCCAGGTACGCTGACTGTTTTAATTAGGCTGCCGCGACGACTTCTTATCTCACAGTACCTTCTGCAAATCACCAAGTCGTCTTGTCCCTATCCGAAAGAAAAACACCATCCGGTAATTTCGTGCAAGAGCAGGGTACCAGCCCTGAGCTTCATGAACTCAGGTGGGCCCACCGAAACCGAAAGGGTCTAGGAGAAATCGTGGGCCGAAAACACTTGTCGACGAGGATAACTTCTACTGATGACTGGTAGATCCCTGCTGTACTTGCTCCCTGTGAGTTTATTCCTATCCCCAATCCGCCATGGCGCTTGATATGACCAAAATATTTCAGCTTCCGAGATAGGATGCTGTTTATTAGCTAATCTGCTTTGATGTTCAGATATTTTAAAATGCCAATATTTCTTCTCTTCTTAGTCCAAAGTATTCTGGGAATCTTTCTATATCATTTCAGCTCAAAAAGCTCAAATTTTTTTTTCTTAACGAATAAGAGATAGTCCATATCTCACATCTTTATGTTGCTACAGGAAAGATGCATGCTCTCAAAATTTTATTTTTGATTTCCTTGCTGGTGCTTAACCATAGGCTTTTAATGCTGCTTAAAGAACAATGAAAACGGTAATAATAGAAATAAGAATAATAATAATAACAATAATAATCACCAGTGCAGAGAAGGAAGTAGAGGAGGCGTTCTACGTCCTATTCCTTTGTTTTTCACCATCTTTCCTAGATCCTGTGCCAAATCCAGCAACTCACAAATTAATCTGCCAAGAAAGTGGTGAGAATTTAATTAAGTCCTATGGTCTACTTAGAGACAGGAGAATCTGCCAGCGGGTAGTATAAAGCGCGAGATTGGAGGAAAGACAGAATGAACGAAACAACAGAACGTACAGGATAGGAACAGGAGGATCTGCCATCGGGAAGAATAAAGCAAGATCGGAAGAAAGACTGAACAAAACAAGACAAACATAATTATGTTCAGATGAGAACAATTCATGGCCTTTTAATATTCTGATTTACGGCTGATTTTGAGCACCTATTACCGTGTAAAGTTATTTAAAAGACTTTCCCCTTCCATGATTGCACCCCAAAGGATTAATATCCCGCTGATTAAACAGCCACTATCCCGATGTGCATCAAACAGGAGCTAATCCCAAACACCCCGATCAGTCGCTGGTTGGCACCTTTCCGTCTTTTCAGACAATAGTGCTATGCTATTTAAAAAAAAAAGTAAAGGACCCTTTTCCACGCCATTAGGCGTATAGGGCATATAGGGCTAGACCTATATTTTTATAGAGCAATCGGCACAAGATGGGTGATGTGGTCAGCATCACGCCAGTCGCCTTTACTTCCCGGGAGTGGACCCGGTACCCACTCAAGGCTGGGTCGACCTGGGAGCCAAGGTCAATTTTTGAAAAAAGTCCAGCTCCGCCAACGAGCGAACCCACGACCTTGCCATCCGAGCGTGTTATGCTATGATGAGAATCAAAACATTTACAAAGCTGTTGTCAGTTGGTTAGTGGGACGATGCTCCCCATACCCCTATGCTCCCCATACCCCTATGTTCCCCATACCCCTATGCTCCCCATAACCCTATGTTTCCCATACCCCTATGCTCCCCATACCCCTATGCTCCCCATACCCCTATGCTCCCCATACCCCTATGTTCCCCATACCCCTTTGCTCCCCATTACCCCTATGTTCCCATACCCCTATGCTCCCCATACCCCTATGCTCCCCATACCCCTATGCTCCCCATACCCCTATGTTCCCCATACCCCTATGCTCCCCATACCCCTATGTTCCCATACCCCTATGCTCCCCATACCCCTATGCTCCCCATACCCCTATGCTCCCCCATACCCCTATGCTCCCCATACCCTATGCTCCCCATACCCCTATGCTCCCCATACCCCTATGCTCCCCATACCCCTATGCTCCCCATACCCCTATGTGATCCCCATACCCCTATGCTCCCCATACCCCTATGCTCCCCATACCCCTATGCTCCCCATACCCCTATGCTCCCCATACCCCTATGCTCCCCATACCCCTATGCTCCCCATACCCCTATGCTCCCCATACCCCTATGCTCCCCATACCCCTATGCTCCCCATACCCCTATGCTCCCCATACCCCTATGCTCCCCATACCCCTATGCTCCCCATACCCCTATGCTCCCCATACCCCTATGCTCCCCATACCCTATGCTCCCCCATACCCCTATGCTCCCCATACCCCTATGCTCCCATACCCCTATGCTCCCCATACCCCTATGCTCCCCGTACCCCTATGCTCCCCATACCCCTATGCTCCCATACCCCTATGCTCGTCCCATACCCCTATGCTCCCCATACCCTATGCTCCCCATACCCCTATGCTCCCCATACCCCTATGCTGCCCATACCCCTATGCTCCCCATACCCTATGCTCCCCATACCCCTATGCTCCCCATAACCCCTATGCTCCCCATACCCCTATGCTCCCCATACCCTATGCTCCCCATACCCCTATGCTCCCCATGCCCCTATGTTCCCCCCATACCCCTTTGCTCCCCATGTACCCCTAT